TTCAGACTAAATGCAGAAGCTGCGTTTGAGCGCCAAAAGCATGTGCAGCCCATTGCGATATAGTCCGCTCGTGGTGTCTACGGACTTCAGATTACAGCACGTTGAATATTGTTCACATCTGATGGGAGCATCCCCTGATCAATACTGAATTTTCATTTTTTTGATGTTTGGAATTAAATCCTACGTTACCCCACCGAGGTGTAACGTTCACGCGTCGGTTCGCTCATTACCGAGCGTATGCCAGTTATTGATCGCCCTCCTCGGTATGCATCGCTTGTTGTCGCTGCGTTTGATTAGACGAAATCCTGGCTAGTCAGTCAATGTCATGGCAGATATCATGAAACCCAATAGTCCTAATTAGGCTAGTGCGCACAATCCTTGTAAGCGTGGGCCTCGGTATCAGCCACATCAACAGTTGGAAATCTGATTCGACATGGTCCCAGCTACAGTGGATTATCGAAACACATCTAGAATGACATGTGGATAAAATTTCTTTGTGCATATGATGATCACGATATCACGAATTTCCCAACTTACCTTTTGCTTGATTAACTAGTTAGATTAAGGCCCCCTGTACACAATGTGTCTTAAGGTTCAACAACTTGCCAAACAGTATTTTGTGCACTGGTTTCCTATCGGACTGTATCCAGCATAATTTAACATTCTGTCCCGTCTGTTTGCCGAACTGCCTACTCGTGGTACTAGCTGGGGGTCCGGGATGATCAGGTTCCATCAGCGTGTTTCGCGGCAGTATTTGAGTACGTGGTGGTTTCTTTTGCCAGGCAAGCGTTCTCCCCATACGAGACATATGTCTATTTAACAGCACTGCGACATGGCGAATGTGACCCGCCACTTGATAAAATCACTGCCCCTTGTTTCATTCTTGTGGAGCATTGTATTTGCTGTGTGCTTCACCAAACTAAAGAGGTATGAACTGGCACTCAATGGGCACTATTTTTCGAATTTGTCCAGCTGCCTTTTTGGTCGGCTTCTTAATCAAAGGCTCTCTGCTTCTGCTTGGGCAACCGGGTAGTATCACAGACACTGACGAAATCACAGATCGTTTACCTGCTATACTGTGTTCAACTGCTTTTGCTTCCTTTTCTCACACATCTTCATACGCCACTTGTTCATTTGTTACCAATCACTGTTACCCGTTACCAGCCTATTCCTGTTTCCGTGATTCGACTCCCGGTGGTTTCGTTGACGACCACAGTTCGATAACTGGCCCTTCTTCGGCTTCGTTCCCTTTGGCATGCTTCAATGTGCGCTCACTCATGCAGATCAGGCAATAGGCTTGTCTCGAGCTTACCCTAGAATTCCTCAATATCAGTAGTCACTCTCTTTCCGAAAGCCGCTTGCAGCCTTCCATTATTGTGATTAAGCTGTCATTCCCCACTGCCCAAGGATCCATATTTCACCTGCGTCTATCTGGTGACATGGGAGCGACCGCGGCAGACTTCGCTGGTGTTGGTGTCTCAAAGATTAACAAAGCCGAGGCCGCATTGCGGACTGGTTTCCGAGTAACATCCGACTGCCTGTAATTCGGCTTTGGAGATTTTGCAGCATCAACAGACGTCTTGAAGAGAGGCGCAGCTTTACGTGATCTTCGCGTACGCTCTAACTGATTGCAATTGTGACTCCGTTAAGGACGATTTTTATCATGAACTGCGGCAGCTAAGGAGCAGAGTTTGCAAATCCGATATTGCTCTCCTCAATGGTGATACCAATGTACGGATTTGTCATCTGTTACCATCTGAACCTCCTCTCGGTGGACTTCATGCGCTCGATGTAAGCCGTTCAGTTAATGAAGACAGACTTCTCACACTGGGTGAATCTAGTCCTATGTTTCTCTCAAGTGCCAGCTACGGATATAGTGGAAGATTTCCCACTACTTGCCGCCCCCCTTCACTAGCGCGGAAATCGTCTCAAATTGGTCAAATCGCAATCAGTTTCAAATGGCGAGATAGTGCGCAGAATTGCAGATCGATTTGGTCCCCATTTCTTGATTCAGACCATTCTCTGTTTGCGCACTTCTACATGAGTTTCGTATGGTCCTCGAAAACGAAGCACTGCAAGGTTGCTACAACTAGACTAGCTGCTTCCTCGGTTCCGCTGTTATTTATCTTCCCTGTTACTACCCTCGACTGCGACCCAACGCAAGGTATGAACAAAACCGGATTTTCATGCGAAGAAAACGTCTTCCGGACAGTCAATCTGCGGCCTCATTCAGCATTCTGTGGAAGGCTGGATATCCAAGCGTTTTCGGAATCTGCTTGGTTGTTGCAAAAATGTTCTAGCGAAGTCTGCTCATAATGATGCATGCCGTTCTGTCAGTCGGCGGCACAGACAAAGCTTACGCGGTGACCTGAACTATGGTGACCTCCTCGTGCGGTGGAATTAGAAGCCGCTGCCTTATCCGGCATGCTCACTCCATCCACTGGTCACAGAATACATAGTGTCAGTGGTACTACTTGGGAGCGAATGGATCGAACATTTTCATTCCCAGTTTAGTTGGTCCTCATCGTCCACTTGTTTGCCCCGTGAACCCGGTTGTGTGCCCTAGGTCGTCACACTTGGTTCCACCCAGCGAGGCTTAATTTTGTCCTGTAATTTGAGGCCACCGGCTCGGATGAATTTGCTCCAGAGCTGTCCAAGTATGCGGCGCACTAATTACCAGCCGCTAACCTCATAGTTTTCAAAATCTAGCTTGGAGAAAAGGTACCCTCTTCCTGTGGCGAATCAGTTGTTTCGCTTTTTATAAAGTGTGCTTGCACTTTATGCGCCAATCACCAGGGGGTTAGTCTAATTCCAGTTGCTTCTATGCTATTGACATCCATTCTACTTCCTAGACTATCCGCGATTCGTGTATCACTGTACGGGGAAGAACATACTGGCTTTCGTCCTATCCATGGGTTTGTGGATCAGATATCCACCCTCTATCAAATACTAGAACACCGCCACCTCTGCCAGATGTCTACCATCGTTGCCTTTATAAACCTTCGTGTTGCATTCGCCTCCTTTGATCAACTTGCGCCATGGCGTTACTTTCTCAGGAACGGGGTCCTACGTGCACTGTACCTTCATATCCCTAGCCGAGTGCTGGTTTATCGCAAGTTTTCGTTGTCCTTCGCTGTCAGCAACGATGTACGATGGGGCTGCGATGTGTTCCCATTTGCGCTTGGAAGCATCCTGTCTAGAGCTGTAAAGGCCAGTAAAAGTTTGGTCTCCAGCTACTAACGGTTAAGCGAGCGGCCGAGCGACTGACTTAGATTATACCAATGACATTGCCTTACTTAAGGACAATTCCCAGAGTATGTAAACCATTCTGAACCGTCTGGCGATTGATGCATCTAGGTGTCGTGTATGCTTCGCCTCCCTCGTTGTGTAAACTGCTGATCCGTTTCCCTGCTCACCCATAATGATACACTGCTTGAACCCGTAGATAGCTTTGTCCACCTTGGGAGCTACGCGTCTGCTGGTCTCTGCATTGGATAAAACGTTTCTCCGTATTCTCAAGGCTCTGCCGACGTCTATCAATCTGAGGCATTTGTGGTGTCGTTGAGTTGTCTCCACTTTGTTTATAGTTCGGGTTTACTATGTCTCCGTTCGAGTTCTGTTGTTGTATGGATTTGACCCTGTCCCACTTCGTGTTTCATTGCGTACACTGGCTTTCGGTCTCCAACAATGGGTGCTTGAGGAGGATCGCTCTTGTGTGGTGGCTTCAATGTACCTGCAGCGGTGAAGCCAGACGTCGTGTCTTATGGTATGCGAGTATTCCCTTCAACAAGCTGGTTTCGCTCCACTAGTGACACGGTCTCGGTTACGTTCTGTGTATGTCAGCTGCGCGCTTGCCTCATCGCGCTCTGTTCGCTCGTGCAAGACTCGAGTGGAAGCGACCGCGCGGTGGTCAACTGTCCTCCACCTGGCGATAGGATATGAAATCGTTGAGTTCATATCTCACGCATATGCCTAGCTGGGTACAAAAGCAAGAGGATTGTTGATGGCACGAAACAATTCAAGATATGGCACGCAATCGTCTAGGAGATTAGTGCACGTAATTTTTGAATTTCAATGTTTAACGCTCAGTTATTCAAAAAGTCAGAAGATGTAAAAAGACTTGTGGAGAAGGAACGTAAAAATGTGTTCCGTTATTTTTTGACTTTTGTTCCTGTTATCTATCAATTTTTCTGGTTTAGGATTACCTCATGTCTATCCATTAGACCGCTGCGAACACGTGTATTTTTTTCCGCGACGCTTGGCTACTAACTGATTGAGATACGAAGGGGCTATTTCATCTGCTCAGTTTAGGTTGCATGGTTGATTAGTTAGCATGAATTCTAGTCCCGAAGAGAAGACAAGAACGAAATATACAAATTATCTCATTTAAAACATCCTAAGTAGTTCTGATACCATAACGCCATACTCCGCTTATCCTGGCGAAATCAGGAGGTGTTTCCAGCCTATCCTTACATACATGAATTGTAGCATTGAGATATTAAACGGGAATAACATTTTCTGGCACACCCTTCAAAGGGTTGCACTATCGCAAACTGATACTGTCCGCAAAATAAAAACCTTGCTTCAGTTCAACCAAGACGACCATAATAAGGCTTTCTGACTACTCGCCTAGTGTCTGATCATCACCGACCTGTGCGCCTTTAAACTGTCTACCCACGTGAGCATCCGAAATTCCTCAAACTGCTCTTCTCAAGGCGACCGTCCCGTTTGTTGTTAATTCGATCCATCGGCACTGCATTTTTTGAAATACTGCTTACTAACAATTATGGGTTGATTTCTCCTATTCTGCAGCAGGCTTTTGCTATCATTGCACAACAACGCCTATTAATCTGCGCGTTATACTGGGTAACCTCGCTCACAATGTGTCCCTCTGTATGTTTTGTTGTACAGAACACCTGTCTTCATTTGCACCGCCTTCCCAATACCTTAGCTACATTCACATCTCAAACGACAGAACTCGGCTTGCACGTTTCTTTTTAGCCTATCACCATGTTTGGTCAATCTCGGCCTCCGCCTCCACGTTATGCCACCCCACCTCCTGGATTTCATATGCCCCCAACTCCTACCTCCTTTTCAATGCCTCCACCTTCGGAACCAAGACTACTTGCCATGAGATTGCCTCTGCCCTCCGTCCCTCCTCCAACCCGCATCCCTCGGACTTTAGTTATACCGCTACCATTGCCTTCTCCCGCCGCTCCCTTAGAACCAATACCAAGGCATCCAATGGCCTGGTCAACGCGACCTCACATATCTTGTCCGCCCCCGTCACACCTGCCAACACATCCATCACCGCCGCTGCCACGGACGCAGCGGCCTGTAAGCTGTGCACCCACTCCGCAGCACCCAGTCTCCGTGGATGACACCATTGAAGCTAACGTAAATGCGTGGTTGGTTAAAAACGAAGCCCGACTGAATGCATTACGCGAACAACGGATCGCGTCACGCCCCAAACTGCCGGAATTTCGTTCAAAACTGACCCGCTGGAACCGCTTGTTGGACACACTTCGTGACCTTCGTTCGCAATCGCTTCCGGTCGAACCGGACACTGAAGTATGCAACTTTTTGGTTTCATCATTCATTGCCTTAGTTATCGTGCATCTTTAAATAAATAAATAAACTTTTACTGTGGATGATGCGAATCCCGCCTATGTTGGCATGATTGGGTAAGTGCATACTTTTATGGAACGTTGATCACAGGTGGATCAGGGGACGTTTGGAAGTACAGAAAAGACATAACAAATGGTTGACTGAATCGAAATGATGTTGGCTGTCCTTTAACCCTTCTCTAACACATAAAACAAGTAGATCACAGGAGAGAGTATGATGGTGAAACATGTAATGAGTCATATGAAACCTGTGCCCTGCTCGTACGCTTGGCTTGTTGTTATGGAACAATCAAACAGTTCGATCACGTTCTGTGCAGTCAAGAACTTGTTGATGCTTTTGAGAAATTTGTGCTTGAGGGGGCAGGCAGATAGTCCGGGTGGTAGGTTGTTCCGGATTCTGGAGTACCTGTTTAGGAAAATGTAGGCAGACTTACTGCTGATGGACTTGCATTCCCCAACACTTAGTTCTGATTGTTTCCTGGGTTGTAGACTGCTGATTGCATCAGTGTCATGTTTAGTTTGGAAACGCGTATTTCCTTGCAATATGTTGATGAAAATGACTAGGTTATGCTTTATGCGCTGTAACCAGGGCGGTTCAAGCTTGAACTTATCCCATCATTTACAATGTGCCAGTTTTGGAGAAGCACCTAGGAAGCGCTTTATGAATGCTTTCGGTACTTGTTCCAGTACAATGCACTCGCACTTTTTTCAGTTACTATACACCATTGAACAGTATTCCAGCGTTGGTCGAGCAACTGATATGTAAGAATAAAGTATTGATTCATGAAGCTAATAGTCCTAAATACCAATTCATTATTCCTTTTTGCTTTCTGTGTGGCCTAGCCCACTTGTTCACAAAAGTGACCATGAATAATTCAATCCCAGCTCTCTTGCCGTAGCACAGAGATCAAGTGGTTTGTCATCAAGAATCAGGCTGACATGAGTCAAATCGCACTAGTAAGACTTTGCACATTTGTCAGTAGCGAAAGACATTTTCCACTTTGAGCACCAGATTTAAAGCCCATGTAGGTCGAGTTGGGTCATGTTCATAGCATTATTGGAGTCATCCGGACAGAAGGGGTATACAATTTTAATGTTATCGGCAGACAGGTATGGTGTACCGAATTTTACTGCATCGAAGATATCGTAGCGCGCCAAGGACACTGCCTTATATCACACCACTAGTGACAGGTGTAGGCTCAGATTTGTATTCTCCTATTTGTACCACCTACGTTAGATTTGTAAGGTATAACCTGAACCAAAAAGACAGGGATTCACCGCTTTCGTAGGACATCGTTTAAGCTATTAGTTTCATGAGGCACTTGATCAAAAGCCATGTGTATGTCGAGGTAATAGTTGCCCACATACCAAGATCACATGAGGCATTGATATGGTTTGGAAATTTCAAGTGGCACGTTATGCAAGGCCGATTATTCAAGAAGTCTTGTTGAATGTTGTTTATTAGATTACTTGAAAGTGGGAATTCAACGGTTTTAGCTTTGATGTCGCTCCATAATTTCTGATAAGAGAGATGTATATCCTTTTGGGCGATAATTTTTAAGGTCGAACAAGAAGCCGGAGTTATGTCTCGGCACAACTATGCTTATTTTCACTGAGCTGATACGGTGCCCGTGTTCATGGATGGATTTAACATACTCAGAAATAGCCGGGGATATCATCCTCATCCAATTCCACAACTACCGGGAAGAATATTGTCTGGACCCTCGAACTATAATAATTTTATGCACCTGATAGCTTTGTGTATATCTTGGAACTCAAATATGATGCATTTGTGTTAATCGACTGTGACTGGTGGCAAGACCACGCATACGGATTCGGCATCCACGTTGAATGAAGCAAAGAAATATTGATTAAACATCACATTAATTTGGGCAGCGTCTGTTATGTTGCAGCCATCTGATGCTACGAGTGAGATTGTGTCTTGATTACATTTGGTAGTTCTGTGCTTTAAAAGACTGCTCGGTTCACGGTTTTTGAATCTACGTTCGAGAACCCGTTTTTCGTCAACAATTTTTTCGTGTGATAAGCCAGCTTCAGTGATGTGGCCAATTTATGATGTAACATGAATGAGGAACCATGCATTTTACGATAGGCCATAAATAGATTTTCGAGCTTAGCCACTGTTTTTCATGAAACAGTCTTTTCGCGACCTGAGGGAAAGTGTCTATCTCTGATAGGGTCCAGTATGTCGAGAGATAGATTACTGTTGCTATGTAGAGCATCAGCTGCGGCTTGTGGATCATCGGTAGGGAAGAAGTCCCACCGAGTAAATTCGCAAGCGAGTCCCAATCAACTGATTTACAGCGCTCTGAGAGCATTTGTGACGGGGCAGTCCTTATTGGGAGTCGGGCGTGATTTGTGCATAAAAAGGTGACCACCCTGTAGTCACTACCAGGAGAGTGTTCTAGAGCACCAATGGCATCTGGTATTAGGCCAATCGTACATATCAGATCCAATATTTTACCATTTCTGTTAGGAACTGTAACATGCTGTGTCTATGTATATGTATATAAGGATGAAATCAGATTTGTATATCTGCTGGACACATGGCTTAAGGTCCACAATATGTCCGGCATGTTGAAATCTTCACCTATCATTTTATACTTGGCTGCTTGACCCGTTACGTAGTTGAACAGTTTTGCAATGCATTAGTTTCTGTGGAATTAGAATTAGGGTGCATGTATACGCGCCCGAGGAGTAATAAGTTATCGTACAATTGCACTTTTATACAAACGGGGTCCTGCAGTCACTTATGTGAGGGAACATTCACTGTTGAAGCCCGCGTTGATTCCTGTACCTAGATAGCACAACCGCCACCTGATCCCGACTTATGACACCAATAAATGCATTGTATTCCAATATGTAGTAGTCGAACTTAGGAGTGTCTTCCATTAGCCACGTCCCGGTCATGAGTAGGATTTGTGTACCAAATAAGGAAGTAAGTGAGCTCAGAAAATGGATTTCGTTTTTGAGGGAACGTGCATTGAGCAGCAAAATACGCCTGGATTGAGGTTGATGACGTAAGTTCATCTACTTCTTGAAATATAGGGGACCACCTGATGCAAATACTTTTAACTGGACATTAGACGGGAGCGTTATGATGTTTTGGTCAGAATTATCTGAAACGCTGTGGTGGAGATCTGGGGCGAGGGGAGTTGAGTACGTACATGTTGCAGTCGGATCTACCACGAATAAGTTCGGGGGTAAGGACAATTTTTCACTTGTAAACCTTGGTAGACTTGAAGGCAAAGAAATAGTTGGGACACGACATATAAATTGGGACTGGCGTGGTGCTGAGCCAGCCGTGTCATCTGAACAAATTATAGGAAGAGTGTTACCACGACGCCGACTAGGTATCCATATGAAGTCTCATCATTGCTGGGAATGGCTGCGGAACTATCTCCGCTTCTCCTAAAAAAGGTCAGAGGAGAATGCTTGGTTAAGAGTGGCTGCGCAGGTGTGGGGTGACGTAGGTGGCGGCGTTATCAAATTGTTTCTGCCGTTATACTAACGGTACGGTTCTATTCCCGGTGCTAACAGACCGATTTCTTCCACTGCAGTGTTCTTTCAAGAACGCTTACTTTCTTTTCCACATGTTCGAAATTCGAAATTTTTTTTCTCCCGCACTTCATCATATCGCAATACTCTCCTACCTTATCTATCACATTTCCTTGTTGACCTAGTGAAAGTCAAAGGTACTGCGCGAGCGGTCGTTGCAGTGACAATAGTGTATATTTTCCATTGTCTCCCATTTAGGTATCTTAGCTTGATATCATCCAGTATAACCTTAGTGGTTGTATAAATGCTTAAAATGAACTCATTAGGGTTCATGAAGCTTATTTTGACTTGACCTTTTGCCCAATTTGCTCAGCTTTTTATAAGTTGTTTATTTGCTTCCTTATTCCCATACATCCCGTACAACAGTCGGAGCTGATCACACTCGAGGAGGAATGTTCCGATCCAGCTTACTTGCAACGTGTTCAATCGAAACTTCGTTTCATCCGCAAACGTCGCGTGAGCTTTTCTCAGACCCTGTTATTCAATTGTTGTTTCTGCCTTCTAGGGATTAGATGTGTGGAAGGTTTTTCTTTGATGTATACAGCATTCCAGGCACTCGATCAGAACTGTATTGGTATAGTTTATGATAGCACTCTTTCGTGATCACTTCAACAAGGAGCATGATTGTACCGCGTGAGGGCCCAATCCCATTTTCCTCCGCCTGCATAAACACCAGCATCGAGCGTAGTAGAAGTAAACGTGGCATCCCTTCCAACGGTTTGTAGGTTGGTTGGCAGTCTACACCTATCGGGGTTTTTATTTATATGCTAATTATATAGGATTAATAGGATCATCAAATTCGATCCCTCACCAAGCACCACATCTGAGCCCTTATTGTCTGGGAACTCGCAAGTCTGATAGCAGTTTATACTCGACTTCGTCACGCTTCCATGTATTTCTTGCCACTTTTTGCTTTTCTTGAATGTCATCTCAGGCGCGTGTATTTGATGTGATCTATTCTTTTGCACCTTGTCCACCGCTGTCAGCTGTTTTCCTTGTGTATGTGTTTGTGCATCTCTGCGTGTTTGTGCGGCTAATGAAAATAATATGCTGTGGGAGACGATTTATGCTCCTATCGATCCGGTGTGACAAGCAGGTAGTTAAAGTTAACTAGACCTCACTAAATTTTCATGTGGCACTGGAGAAGTGTTTATTTCAGCTTGATAGTGTAGTGCTTGTGGTGGAGAGTTAAATTCATTTGATCATTCCGACGCTGCATCCGTACACCGGTCTCGCCGTTCTAGGGCTCATCAGGTGGGAATTCATCGATGGGTCTTGTTGAGCTCCCAAGTCTTAACTGTCGGAGCTTAATGGCATGGCGGTCAGGTCATCCATCGTCAGCCACTGCGTTATTTGTGACACTCCCAATCCTGATTCCCTCTACCTGAAGCGCCCTAGGAAAGGCGAGCTTGATCTAGGACGCGGTGCTATGAACGACCTGCACCGAGAATACTCCACTTATGATACAGTCGCAGTGCTTGGAACCACCAAGCTTTACTTGTAAGTTAACTGTGATCTCATTTAAGATTGCGCGTCGCTTTCGGACGCATGGATGATGCTGTGAAACCAGTAATGAATGTTTTGATTGTTGCTTTTATTTTGAGCCACTGATGGGGCGCTATACATTTAATACCGCAACGCTTTCCCGTCTGGAGGACGGCTGACTTCCACTGTATTTCATATTGAAATGCATGTTCCCACACTACTAGGCTTATGCTAGTAGTATATCCCATCCAAAAATTTGTCAGCCTCAGTCAATCCACGCCCTTCACTTGCCGGTTGCTTTGTGCTGGTCCAACTAGCCTCCCATACATATGGCTACCTCTACACACGACTAAAATGCGAGGCTATACACACCCTAGACCGATGCAACTAGATCGACTGTCAGCACATGTCAGGCTTCGTTGCCACATAACCACCACAAGTCGTGCGCGCCCGCTTGGGACAATGCGAAGTTGACCGCAACTCTAGGCAGATGCGAACCAGTGATCTTTGGATTTCATGCCAGGCACCTCATCCCCCCGGCTACATTAGGACAGATGGAGTGTGTTTACGCTATTTTTGGTGCACTAACCGTCCAGTTGGGTACAAGCTTTCTTACCGAACGTTTCTGTTTCAGTATAATCTAATGTTCATTAAATTCCTCTTCATTCATCAATACTAAAATAATCAGCGCTATCGGAAACGTTGCAAGCTCCGTGCGCAAGAATCCTTGGACTCCGATTCTGTGACAGTGTTGCCTTCTTCCGTATCTGAAATCCTCTGCCACTTGCGTTCTTCGCAGGAGAGAGTTCCACAAGAGTCTTCAGATCACACGGAATATGAGACTACTGCGATCCAGTGAGTTCGGACACAAGTGATTTTGCATGGAATTTACGATTCGCTTTGGTTTTCCACTTATTGACGTGCATTACGCGACGGATTCACGAGTTGCAACTTGTGACTTGACCAAAGTGGTTTTCCTCCTCGATTGTTTTCACCACTTGGCTACGTCCGACGGACAAATTTCCTGTGGTATCCAACTTGCTTTTCTGCTGCGCCTCCACTTTACTTAGCGACTATCTTCGTAAATGCTAGTGTACTGCCCATTCTTTACGTAGCCCGATGATAATAAAGCATAATTTACATGGATTATCTATTTAACACACAAACAGCATCCTCTACTGTCGATGAATCTGGCAATTTTGTGAACTATGGAATGGGTCCCCGCCTCGTTTAGCAACAAACTACGCACACACTCAACGTATTATAGGCATATATCAATAGAACATGCCCCAAGACAAGTAATGTGGGCACACTGATCGTCGGAATGAAGTCATTTCTATTATAAGCGGAAACACGGGATCCTTGTTCTAGTGGTTCAGTAGTTGACTTACATCGCTTTCGCTCCTGGCTCAACTTTATCCATCGTGTTGGAGATAATGCACTTGGCAGCATCTCACCTAGTGTACAACGACCTGCGGTTATCTGAGCGAGACATATACTTTGTACTGATTGTACTGCTGGCACTTCTTTCATCTGCCTTTTTGCTGATCTTGAAGCGACCTTCCAACCACCCCCCTCACAATACACAAGAATTCCGGAGCAACTAGCTCCGGCAACGACTGAATGGCTAATTGAACTGCTGTTCTGTGAGACAGGCACACTTCAAGTAAAAGTAGGGATATCATCATAGCATGGATGTCGCAACTACTACTGTTTTCTTTCACTCCTGAGCTCCTCACTGTTTACACACCTCCATCACACGCCAATCATATCTTTGTCAATAATTCCTTTGAATCTACTTCTGATGACAGTCTCGAGCATGTCCAAAGGGTCCGACCAGTGGCTCTCCTTCGACCTTGATCTCCATTTCGGCTGGCAGCTTTCGACCTTAGAACCCTTATACAGATCGGACAACAAGCCGGCCTAGCGCGCACCCTGGAGCCCCTCGCTTTCAATGTCTGTTGTGCTCCTGAGTATCGGTTACAGGACTCCAGCGCCGTAATTAAGTTGATGCCCTCTGCTGATCTCGGGACCAAATATTCCCTGTATTTGTTTGGTGACACAGAGACTGTTGCAGCTGGCCTTGCTGGTGTTGGCATCGCATTGAGTGACGAAGCTCAGGTCTCCCTGCTCGATTAGTTCGCGATTGAAAGCCGATTGTGTGCGGTTTGATTTCAAGGTTCGTTCAGAGTCAATAAGCATCATACAGAAAGGCACCATTCTTTTGTGCTTTCAGCCTACGCTTCAACCAACTGCAGTTGTGCATCTGTTAATGACGACTTTAATCCCGGAGTCCATGAGATTTTGATTAAAGCCGCAAGAATTCGATGCCGTCGTCCTTGCCGAAAATTTCAACGCACGGGTCGGTCGCCTGTTGTCATGCGAACGTCATCATGGTGGCCATCATGCTCTTGATGAAAGTCGCTCCGATAACTGAGATAGGCTTCGATAAAACATGTCACCACTTGGCGTTTTCCTTCTCCAGTACACACTAGTCGCAGATTGATCACATTGCTATCAGCTTAGATGGCGGTGCAGTATACGGTATTGTAGATCGATTTGGTCCATCTACTCCGAATCAGATCGCGCTCTGGCGTGTTCGGACATTTGCATGCGCTTTGGTGGTTCTTCGAAACCCAAGCACCCGTACGCTGGATACCAACAGGCTATCTAATAACCCCTCCATATGACTGGTCTATCAATTCTCCTTATCAGATGCGCTCGCTAGTGCTTCACTTACAGATATCAAGCATCACTGAAATTCCTTGCGAAAGCCGTTGCCTTCTCCCGGTCGATCATACTATGGAATCGTTGGACGTCCTCTAAGACGCTGGATCTCTGTTCTCTCTTTTGCATTGTTTGCTCGTCACCGATCTATCCTAGCTGATTCAAGCCGCGCTGAAGTCCGCCGCAACTTCAACGAACAACTCAAGCAAAGCATGTGTAACGATCGCGAAACGTTGTGGTCTCAACGCGCCTCGGTGATGGAGACAGCAGCTCTCTCTGCGAATTTTCGCAAGCTTTTCCAGATCATTCGGACCACTAACCATAAAAGACCTGACTTCAGTGGAGCTATTTGCGAGGTTGACGGTTCACCAATCACTACTTTTCGTAGGCTCATAGACCTCTGGGCTGAGCACTTCCACTCCCAATTCAGTTGGCCTTCTCCTTCTGGTTGTTTAACAAGTATGCCTAATTGCGTGCCTTGTAACGTTCCACTGGAACCACCCACTGAAGTAGAGGTCTGCCTTGAGCTTCGTCACTTGAGCGATTCAAAGCCGCTGGCTCAGACGAACTTCCTCTGGAGCTGTTCAAGTGCGGTGGCGAGGCTATTGTCAACCAGTTTAATTCTCTGTTCTCTAAGAGCTTGTGTATGAAGCTTTATTCGAAGATGTCTGAACCCCAACAACACAAACTGACAGACTACCCCAACGACGGAGGGACGGGTTGTTTTGTCTTATGTGAAGAACATATCCTAAATGACGGCAAGACTATTCAAGCAACATCACCTTATCGTAGCACACGAACCAACTGCCAAGCTGAGGAAAATGCTGTCAAGATCAAAAGAAAAACTGGAAGCGCATGGACAGTGTAATGTTGTATATAGACTACGTTGTCGAACTTGTGAAATGGACTATGTTGACCAAGCAGGAATAAAATTAGCAATACCAATACAAGAGCACATAAGCGCGTGCAAAAAGCACTATGCATCATCGCTAGTTTCAGCGCACGTGGACGAAAAGGAACACAGCTTCGATTTGGCCAAAACAGAAGGCCTGGCACGAGGTGAAATAAGAAGAGAAAGGAAGTTCCCGGAAGTCTGGTTCTCAACGAAAGGCTCAATCAGCATGCATTTGGACATCGGCCCAGTATACTAGCCGCTCCGACAGAAACAACTTGGAGAAATTACAAGGCGCCGCTTGAATAGGAACAACTAGAGCAACGGCTTCCGCCGTGGGAAAAATGTGTAGATATCACGGGGCGCAGATCGAAGCGGTCACTTTTAAATACTCACCTGCACGTCGATCACGGATCGACAGTTCAATCAGCTAGATTACACTCTTTATCTTAATGCACTGACGATACCACCTCGTATGGTGGTAAAACGTTTGCGAACAAATTTCCAAGCTCAGCGAACGAATGCGCAACTGGAGGTTACATCCTCTTGGGGCAAGTCGATGATCGTACCCATCTTCAAAAAGGTGCTCGTAACTCATTGGCCAACCACTGTGTATTGCGGCACAGTAGCGGAGGTGTTCCCCACCTCTAGCTAACGTGTATGATGATGATGAATACACTCCGTGAGGAATAGGCTAGTTTCCGCTCCGCTCGAGAGTGTGTGAACCGCATGTTTACGCCTCGTCAACTCCTCGAGCTGTGTTACCTTCATAGTCAGCGTACTATTTTCGCCTTTTGGACATCCGAGCTGCATTTGACTAGGTCGATCGGCCTGCTTTATGGCCTTGTCTGCAAATGAATGGGGTACCCGAAATGTATACCGCCATACTTCGAGCTTTATACAACTACGTCTATAGTAGAGTGAGAACTTACGATATAAGCTGTCCCCACCTTTCGTCGTCACTAGCGGTGTGCGACAAGGGTGCCCAAATCCCCGTTTCTCTTCGACTTTGCGATTAAGGGTGTCCTATTAAACCCTCTGGAAAGTCTCTAAAGTTCTGACATAGAGCTTTTTCCAGACAACTGCGCGACTGTCTTGGACTATGCTGGTAATATTGCCTTGCTCGGTGACGACCCATGCAGGTCATTCTAAACAGCCTGGTGATTGAAGCTACTAACTATGGTATGACCTTCCCCCCATCAAGATGCAGGATCGATGTCCACCTCCCCCGTGCTGATTCTTGACGGCGAACAGCTTGAACAAGTAGATAGATTCTTTTGCAGATGGCGGTTGAACTGTTCGTTGAGCTTGGCGATTTTGTTGCAAACGTTTCTTCACCAATCGAGGTGACATCATCAGTGCGTAGTTGAGTGGCGTCCTTTGTCTGCTGGTAGGATTACAACATTGTCTTCCTTTTGTAGCTTTCTGAGTGCTTCCCGTTCTTCCTTTGCAAGAAGAGTATGTGTGAACTTGTTGTGAGTTATCACAAGGACAACTGTTCGTCTAATATGCTGCCGCAATTCTTCTGACAGTCCGTTTGTATCCAAAACCTGTTCCAGCTTAGCCAAGTAATTCTTATATAATGCATCTTTAGCTTTCAAATTTAGTCCTTTGATCAGTATATTCTCTTCCGTTATGCTGAGTTGACGACTAGACTTGTTTTTGATCCATCCTTCACTATTGGAATGGTCATACTTCTAAGCTTATTCAGCTTGATATTCCGTGCTAAGTTACGCTGACTTCTGATGTTGTTTACTCGACGTTGAATCGCGGATTCAAGCTCCGCAAGTTTTGGGGGGTCCATCGCAATAAGGCAGTCAGTTTTATTGTCATTTATGACCTTTTCATATTTTCGAAGGCGATTATGGGCATCTGTTATCATTAATTTGACCATACGCATTCCATACCATTCCAATCCTCTGGATAATCTAGCGCCGGTCTGTGGTTCAAACTTGATGGCAGATCATTCCGTCTCGGACGTTCTTGGAGGAATTATAGCTGCTCGCGTGTGGAAGCTCGTCGACAGGCAAAGTTTTCCCAACGTCCTGCTTGTTGAAGCGTTGTACGCATGCGAAACTGTAGATCCGTATGGACTCGAAGCTCCCGTATCATTTGACGTGCGGTCTTCTTCATTAATTTATCTCCCACCTTCCCACAAGGTTTTCAGTTCCCTTCTGCTATTAGTCGGAAAACCTTCAACACCGTCATTCAGTAGCGATCCCACTTAATCGGGTCT